TCGGGAATTCCCATTCTTCTCAGTGTTACCCATAATTTGTCATGATCCACACAATCAAATGCCTTTGCATAATCAATAAAGCACAAGTAAACATCTTTCTGGTATTCTTTGCCTTGAGCCAAGATCCACCTGAGAACAGCTATGATATCCTTTGTTCCACATCCTCTTCTGAATCCAGCTTGCACCTCTGGAAGTTTTTTGTCAATATACTGCTGCAACCATTTTGAATTATTTTCAGTAAGATCTTACTTGCATGCAATATTAATGATATTGTTCGATAATTTCCACATTCTGCGGAAACACCTTTCTTTGGAATGGGTACAAATATGGATCTCTTCCAGTCAGTTGGCCAGGTAGCTGTTTTCCAAATCTCTTGGCATAACCGACTGAGTGTCTCCAGTGCGGCATTTGTTTGTTGAAATATCTCAATGGGTATTCTGTCAATTCCTGGAGCCTTGTTCTTTGCCAATTCTTTCATTGCAACTTCGACTTCCTCCTTCAGTACCATTGGTTCTAAATCATATGCCACCTCCTGAAATGGATGAAAATCGACCAGTTCTTTTTGGTACAGTGACTCTGTGTATTCCTGCCATCTTCTCTTGATGTTTCCTGCATCATTCAATGTTTTGCCCATAGAATCTCAATATTGCAACTCGAGGCTTATATTTTTTCCTCAATTCTTTCAGCTTGAGAAATGCCGAGCATGTTCTTCCCTTTTGGTTTTCTAATTCCAGGTCTTTGCATATTTCATTATAGTAATTTACTTTGTCTTCTCGAGCTGCTCTTTGAAATCTTCAGTTCAATTCTTTTGTCATTTCTTCCATTTGCTTTAGCTACTCTCCGCTCAAGGGGAAGTTTCAGAGTCTCTTCTATCATACATTTTGGTCTTCTCTTCTTTTGTTGTCTTTTTAGTGACCTCTTGCTTTCTTCATGGATAATGTTCTTGATATCCTCCCACAATTCATCTGGTTTCTGGTCACTGGTGTTCAATGCATCTAATCTATTCTGTAGATGGTCTCTAAATTCAGGAGCGATAAATTCAAGATCATATTTTGGCTCTTGTGGACTTGTTTTAATTGTCTTTAACTTCAAGTTGAACTTGTATATGAGCAGTTGATGGTCTATTCCACACTCAGCTCCTGGCCTGGCTTTGGCTGAAGATATTGAGCCTTTCCATCACCTCTTGCCACAGATGTAGTCAATCTGATTCCTATGTGTTCCATCTGGTGAAGTCCATGTGTGTTGTTGAAAAAAGGTGTTTGCAATGAATAAGTCGTTGGTCTTGCAAAATTCTACCATACCAGTGCCAGCATTATTTCTGTCACCAAGGCCAAATTTTCCAACTACCAGTAATTCTTCTTTGTTTCCAACTTTTGCATTCCAGTCACCAGTGATAATTAACACATCCTGATTGCATGTTTGGTCAATTTCAGACTGTAGAAGCTGATAAAATTCTTCAATTTCCTCCTCTTTGGCTTTGGTGGTTGGTGCATAAATTTGAATAATAGTCGTATTAACGGGTCTTCCTTGTAGGCATATGGATATTATTCTACCACTGACAGCACTGTACTTCAGGACAGATCTTGAAACATCCTTTGTGATGATGAATGCCACACCATTCGTCTTTAAACTGTCGTTCCCAGCATGGTAGATCATATGGTTGTCTGATTCAAAATGGCCAAAACCAGTCCATTTCAGCTCACTAATGCCTAGGATATCAATCTTTATACGTTCCATTTTATTTTTGACAACTTCCAATTTTCCTAGATTCATACTTCGTACATTCCATGTTCCAATTATTAATGGATGTTCGCAGCTGTTTCTCCTCAATTTGAGTGGTGCCATGTCAGCAAATGGACGGCTCGAAAGCTTCACCTTATCCATATGAGTAAGGCTGATTTTACTCTGATAATGGAGCTCTTTCCCAGTACTACTTTGAGAGCTTTCTAAGCTAAGTGACTCATCTTCCTCCTCTGTACTGGACAATGCTTCTGGACTATTCATAAAGTTGTGCAGTAATGTATCAGACAGTGTTTCTCTGTTATTCGTAAGGTTTTCCCTGGCCAATTCTTTGAGAAGTGGATGGCCTCCTCCTTCTTCCTAGTCTGTCCAGTCTGCAAGCCGGGCTGATACCTGTGCAAAAGGTGCACCCCACTGGGTTTGAAACACCAGTGGCACAGCCTCAAGACTCACAGAACACATCACCACAGTAGGACAAACCGACAGACAAGTCTGTTTCCCTTAGCTGTTGGAAACCCCTCCAACCACCCTCACCTGGATTTCTGAGGCTAACTCCTCAATCTGTTCCAGTCCCCTTTGCCTTTTCTGTCCTCTCCCTTTTTCCTGCCTGGCTGCTTGTAGGGGGTAGCCTGGATTCCCTCTCCTCACCTGGCTCCCTGTGGCTGAATCCTTGATCTGTTCCTATCCCCTTTGCCTTTTCTGTCCTCTCCCAGTCTTCCCACCTCGCTCCTTGTGGGGCGTGGCCTGGGTTCCCTCTCTTCACCTGGGTCCCTGCAGCTGACTCCTCAATCTGTTCCGGTCCCCTTTGCCTTTTTTTTTGTCCTCTCCCTACTTCCCACCTCGCTGCCTATTCTTAGGTCCCTGCCTAATTAATTAGCACTGATCATTATAGGAGAATAATTATAACCCTAATTCCATTTTCCCAAGTAAAGAGAAACATTTAGGAATTTAAAAACTCAAGTAGAAAAACTGGTAATAGTAAATTATTCACATTAAAGAATACATCAGAGATAGTGGTCTAACTACATTCAAACAAACTTATTTTAAAAAAGTATTTTTCTTTCTTTTAATTCATTATTTTTCAAATCTGCTTTCTAAAAACAATGAACAAATTTTACTTATGGACTTCTGAAATATACATAATACTAAAACGTCCCAATTTATTATGTACTAAATATCTATATAAGCTACCATGTTTGATAAACAGCAGTACAATTAAAGAGGAAAATTTTTTCAAGTAGTCTGACACTACTCACTGATGACTATTGTTTTTTTATCTATTAGTCTTACCTATAAAATTCATGAGTGTAATTATCTATTAGTGATCTTCTACTTGATAACAGTTAATAGAGTTGTACATAATTGAAAATACATTTCTTTAATATAGCCTAACAGTTAAAAATTTTTGTTAAGATTTTATCCACTTCTTTTGTTTCTTTGGTAAATAAATGCTAGAAGCTCTACTTCTAAGGAAAATGTTCTTTATAATCATCTTGTGACAGTCTAAATTTACTCATCAATTATTTTTATACCATGGTAAAAGGTGATAAAAAAAACATTCCACAGAGTCAGGGTATCCCCGTACAACAAAGAACAATGAAAAAATCAAAAGTGAAATGAGAAACAAGAACTAGTTGATCACTTTTCCAAGTTGAAATACAATCAGAAAGTAAGAAAAGAAAATTACAGAATTATCTATTAGAGGCTTAAAAAACCCAGAAAATTAAAAGGAAAAAAATCAATGATACAACTCTGTGTTCAAGGACTCTTTTTAATTACAAACCTGCCAAAGAGAACTCAGGATATCTTTATAGCAAATCATGACAGTTCAGTGATATATTCTTGGACTTAAAGTTTAGGACCAATTCAGGAACCTATCCCATGGAGAGTGGGTCCTAAATATTAATATATCAAGAAAAAAACATTAACTCTACATGCAGTGCAATGTGGATTTCCAAATAAAATCTCTTTTCAGTTTGATATTCTGATATCTATAAAATTAAGTCCAATTTACCTCAACTGTTAAATTTATAACACATAATCCAGAAGCTAGGTTAAAGAACTAAAGTGTTCAGAGATAATACTTCTGTCAGTTTAGGTAAATTGATTCCTAGACTAGACATCTCTAAGAAAGTAATATACTCCAACTGTATTCTTGAACAGGTAGTGCACATAATTTTCCATATTTCAAGGTTAAGCAATTTTGAGATACTTGGTTTTTTGAAGTGTCATGTATTTGTCCAATATAATTAAAAGTGAATGAATAAATAAATAAATACCTCTCCCAAGAGCTGCTCTTCAGCAGCAGGGCTCTCCTCCCCATCATTCTGTGCTACTTGGTCAGAGCCTTTAAGAGCCTTTGGTACACAAAACAATTACAAAGGAAGTTGACGAATGTAGCATTAAAAGGGTATTAGTGAACAAGGAAGACAAAAGACCCAACCAACAACATTCAGAGCTAGTTTAATCATAAGAAGTAGTATTGAGTAATTTTATTTGAGAAACACCACTACAGGAGAAGTAAAGAGCAATATTGTAACACCTCCATCTTTCTTACCAAATATCCCTCAACAAAAAAGATCTTTAAGTATTTGAACAACTATTGATTTAGTTTCTTCTCTTTTGCAAAACTCAAACACATTAAGAAGGAAGAATCTATCAGTAAACTTACACTATTTTAAAATAAGAATTATTAAATTATTAAAATATCTAGAAGCATTTACTTTTACACTGTGAGACAATAAAACAGACACATTTTTCATTTCCTTATTATTTCCTGATCTGTTATGACCCAAACCCAAATTTCAGAATGCAGCTCTTTTTAAAGCCTTCTTACCACATCAGGTCCATCCATTTTGTTTAAGGCCAAAGCAATCTGAAATAAAAATAACAACTCACCTACTAAGTAGAATTCACTTTCAGGGTATACAGAAAATGTTCACCTCTCTTACTCCATTCTTACTGACAAAAACCACAAAGTTCAGCTAAGGGGTAGTGTTTAAGAAAGAGTATTTGTTCAGATCTAGTTCTCAATAGTTCTAGCTTCATTCACATAGAGTTCTATTGCTCAGACGTTATCCTATTCTGCTGTTCAATCTCAAAACTAACCTCAAAAGCAAGCACATTTTCTTCTACTTCGTTTTAAATAAATTAACTACAATTAATGTTATTAAAATACTCCTTCCAGTACTCATTATGGAAAAAACTGCTATTAGAAGTATTTTTATAATCGCATTCTATTTTCTCATTTTTGCTATCAGGCGTGCAATTCAACATTCATACTAATCTCTTGCAAACCTAAAAAAGTTACACCATCAAGGTTAGACCAATATGATAAATGTAAAAACTCCAAAGGAGTGAGAAAAGAAATAGCCAGGAAGCAGTGGGACTGTGATGTGACTCTAGGTTTATCTGACTTCAAAGGGGCATTAATCTTCAATGTGCATGGCATTGCCTACAGAGTCCAACCTATACCATGTATACAACTCTGTAGTACTACAGAAAGCTTTAGCCATTTTCAAAGATTGAGGATGAACTCATACAGTAAAAGAACCTAAACTATTTCCTTCAAGGTATTCCAAAGTCAGGGTATCTTCACTGCTGCTACTGATGTTGTGAACAATGTGGAATAATAATAATATAATCTACCTAAGAGAAGAAAACTATATAGTTAGAATATTATTTCCTCTTTTTAAAAGGAAATTTTAATAAATTACTTCTATTCCAAAATACCTACTAGTTACAGAGATTGTTAGCTGGATCACTTAAGCTAAGATCAAGAATTCCAATTCCATTTATATGTTTCTATGTTTGCTTTTCTCTCAGAAGTTATGTCCTTCCTCTCTCCACTCAAGCTTCGAAGAGATAAGCACCTTCAGATGTTCTATATCTGCCATCTGTATCTTTCTAAAAAGGAAATCCCAACCTCAATGTCTGTATTAACATTTTAGAGAACTACATAAAACAGAAGTACCCAAATTTTCATGGTTCCTTTAAATCAGCTGCCACCAAGTTGGCTCTGAGTGACTCATGGTGACATCATGTTTGTCAGAGTAGAACTGCCCTATAGGGTTTTAAAGGAGCTTTGGTAGTGTAGTGCCTAATGCACGTGACTGCTAACCAGAAGTCTGGCTGTTCAAACCCACCAGCCACTCCTTGGAAGGAAGGTTGGGCAATCTACTTCCTTAGTGACACTGCCTCAGAAACCCAAGAAGGGGTCGCTATGAGTTGCATCTGACTCGAGGGCAGTAGGTTTGGTTTTTTGGTTTTGGTAGAACTTTATTTAAGAAATCCATGTACATAAATTTTTTTTGCATAAATACAAGCCATTACATCTCTGAAAATTTACCTTCTTTCCTAGGTCTTCTTTTCTGAATCCTAGAAGTTCAAGGTATTTGCCACGAGAATCATCTTCAAAGTTTACCTTTTAAAAAAGATATACTCTTGAAAATAAAATACTTGCATTTGAAGTCCTAATTTTCATAATAATTAATTTAAACTCTAAATAAGATCATTAAACATAGCTAAAGTCTATAATTATCAAATAGAAACCTTACTATAAGAAAAGCCCAACACAGATCTATGTAGGAGATCCTGGATAGAGTGGGAGAACAATGTGGAACAAAACTCAGAATCACACACAAAAAAAGGGGCCAGGTTTGCTGGTCTGATAAGAGTCTGCTGGACCCCTGAGACTATGGCCCCTAGCTGCCCTTCAGGTCTGGAATTCAACCCACTCCTGTGGCTTCCAGCCAAACAAAAGACAGGCATATGAGCTGAACATTTACATTAGCTAAATACACTTAGAGAGATCAATCATGGGAGAACAGAATGGCTGTGTATGCATAGGGAGACAGCTCAGGGGGGCAGGAGTGCAAAGGAGGGAAGGACACAGGGAAGAGGTGGCTATTAGGGAGGAAGTAGGAGGAGAGCTGTTGCATTGTGGGAGATTACAGTCAATGTCATGAGACAAAGTGTATGTCAACTGCTATATGGAAGATGAATTTGCTCTGTAAACTTTCACTCAAGTCACATTAAAAAAAAAAAAGCCCAATGAATAATTTTTTGTTTAAATAAGTTATTTTAATAGAACTTATTTAAATACCAGTAATTAATTATACCTAGCTGAATCAAGCTTATTTTTGAACTGTAATTTTTACAAATACAAACTACCTCATGTCCAAAGATTACATGAATATATAATTACCACTATGTAAAACATCCAGTTTCCTGAAATTTCTTTTCCCAAATTAATAATTATAAAGATATAAAAATAAATTCTATAATTTAAAAATTTAAGCCCATTTTAAAAGTATCTTTTCTTTGGAAAATTCAGTGTAGAAAATAGCCATTGCAGTAGAAATAAAATAATCAATCAGGAAATTCTCTTTGTTACTTTACTGTCATAAATGCAACTCAGTAAAAGGAATTTTTTTCCCTCTCTTCTTAAAGGCAAGATATTGAAATGCCTCTATCCTTTTTACCTTATGCCTCTCCCTTCTTATTTTTCTAAACTGAATTTATTACTGAAATTAAATATTCTATGTTCTAATTTTAAAAATCGATCCATGGACTGTTGTATCTCTCTCACCTAATTAGAGCTGTTTATTGCTTATTATAAAGGTACTTCGTATTAGGTGTTTCAAAGCAGAAATGGAAGAACTCTTGCCATAAAAAGCTAGGTAATGTGCTCTTCGTGAAGTTGCTTAAATTTCGTACAGTACCTGAAATCACACTCTTCCAATTATTTCTTTAATCAGAAGACTAATTCAGAATATAATGGGAATAGTTAAATTTGCAGATAATGAAGTAGAAGTTTTAAATAACAAATTTACCTTCAAAAAAGACCACACATTTTTCTCAAACTCGGTCTGAGAAGCTTCAATTTTTTTCTGACAGTAACTGACAAATCCTTGTGACTGCACGACCTGCTGAAGTTGGTCAGATCGGCTGAGGAATTCCTTTTCCGTCACAACTTGGCTAATGAACACATGGTGGTGCTGCTGCTCAGCTCCCTGCTGAGATAGCATTTTGACGTTCTCAAAGGTAACCAGCTTGCCTCCAAACTACAAAAGGACAAATGAACAAAATCACCGTGAACCACAGGATGTGGCGCCAAGAAAAAAAAGTGTGTACTGAAAATTTGTTAAAGGACAGAACGGTTGCCTACTCATATAAAAATTTAAATAAAATTAACTGATACACTCACTCTCATGCTCCACTATCTGGTCCCAACCTTCAATTATTCTCTTCCTCTCCACACAACCTTCAATTACTCTCTTCTTCTTCTAGTAAAATATACTATTTATTTATTGTGATCCCCAATTTTCACCTACTTATTTTTACTCCCTTCCATATACTCAATGCTACCTATCTTCCAAGGCCCAGCAAATGTCACCTCCCCATAAAACTTTCAACTTTGCTTGCTGAAAATGAGGATGACCTGGAGCACTTACTGATAAAGATTAAACACTACAGTCTGCAGTATGGATTATACCTCAAAATAAAGAAAACAAAAATCCTCACAACTGAACCAATAAGCAGCATCGCGATAAATGGAGAAAAGACTGAAGTTGTCAAAGACCTCGTATTACTTGGTTCTACAGTCAATGCCAATGGAAGCAGCAGTCAAGACATCAAAATACATATTGCATTGGGCAAATCTGTTGCAAAAGACTGCTTTCAAGAGCTGAAGGGCAAAGATGCTCTTGAAGACTAAGATGCACCTATCCCAAGCCATGGTATTTTCAATTGCCTCATATGCATGTGAGAGCCAGACAATGAATAAGGAAGACTGAAGAAGAGTTGATGCTTTTGAGTTGTGGTCTTGGCAAATGATGAGTACCAGGGACTGCTAAAAGAACTAACAAATGTGTCCTGGAAGAAGTGCATGCTCCTTGGAAGTGAGAATGGCCAGGCTTCGTCTCACCTACTTTGGTCACTTTGTCAGAAGGGACCATTCTCTGGAGAAGGATGCCATGCTTGGTGAAGTGGAGGGTCAATGAAAGAGGGGAAGGCCCTCAACAAGATGGATTGACACAGTGGTTGCAGTGATAGGCTCAGGTATAGTAGGGATCTTGAGGGTGGCACAGGACTGGGCAGTGTTTCGTTCTGTTGTACATAAGGTCACTATGAGTTAGAGATGACTCAACGGCACATAAAAACAATAACATATCTCTGACTCAACGATACATACCTGTCTCATCTAAATTGTTTTAGGTCAGGCCCTGCGTCTGCTTTATTCTTTTATCTCTTAAAATACCTAGTATATTTCCTTGTACAGAGCAATAGACAGTTAATATCTTCTAACATACTCATACAAAATAAATTTAGGGAAAGAAGGAAACACAGGACCAAATTTGGGTCCTCACATTCAGTAATGTTTTATACAAGGACTATTGGCTTTACATAAACTTATTTTATTAAATGTCTATGCTCAAGGTGTGTGTTACACCAGGCAGTATAGGAAATACCAAGATATAAGAAAACACAAACTACTATTCTTAGGGAACCTAACATGAAAAGGAAACAAAATAAAATGGGCACACTAAAGTGCTAAATGATGTGCAGATGATATCACACGTGATATGGAACTTCATGTAAGGACAAAACCACTGAGTTCTAGGGAAGGTGGAGTAAAATTATACCCAGAAGCAAGATCTAAACTAGATTTCACAAGATGATTGTTTATTCTTTTACTTGGTTCTGTAGTGAATATTAAATAATTACAGTAAGAGAATGCTGTTTGTTAGTCATTATCTTTTTTAAATCAACCAAAACAAAGCACTGAAGACATTACTAATGAATACAATATAAATATATACTAAAAGAACTTAGTAATGTAAAAATAATAATGTAACTTAAAAAAAAATCAGAAAAAAGGTAGGAGGAAGTGTTAAGTGTACTAATTTAATATTGTACAGAAGAGTTTCAATTAATACTATATAAAGTTGATATATCCAGACATGGAAGTTTAGGTAAATTATTTACATTTATAAAGGTAATCACAAAAATAACTATACAAATTCCAAAACTTCAATAATGGTAACCTAAGGATGCTGGAGTGGAACACTGACATCCTATCCCTCACGAATCTATACAGCATAGACTGAAGGGAATTTTAATTTTACTGTCTGCAAGAAAGAATGCTTTCAGCCTCTCTTTGTCCCTCCCACTCTCCTGGGGAAAGGAATTACTGACAGCAATTTTCAGGGAAGAAATGGGTCCATGCTTGGAGCATGATTTAAGCCTTCTTTTCATATCTGTCTCGCTGCACAGACGTATACTCCATGTGGATAAGCTGCCTGACCCCTCAAAGAAGGCCCTATATTACCTAGATCTGTCTATAATGGTTACCTAATAAAGGAGTGAGAGGTGAAATTAAAAAACTGTTTACTGAATTAGATGTCAGGGATATAGAGGCAAACAAAAGGTCCAACTCTCATGAAACCTATATTCTAGTTTCTTACAAGGCCCTCTGTTGCTGTACATCTAACCTATAACCTCTAAAGCAACTTCTGGTAGTACTAAAGCTGACATTTTAACCAGCCTTCTCTGTGACTTGAAGTCAAACTCACTAACCATTTAAAAGATGGATGATGGATATAATGGCACTCATTATTTCTACTTTGGGACAAGTTTAGAACTTCCTATAATCAACAGCTTGACGGAAAAGAAGTAGAAAGGGGGAGAGGCCTAAGAAATTACTCTATGAAATGTAACAACTATTATAAAAATAATAACTCTATAAAAAGTCCTTTGTGCCCACAGAACATAAAACAAAATTCACATACTGAAAAGGAAGCACCAACAGGCCTTCGTATCCACTTGGGTGGCTTCTTCAGAGGCAGCACTATACTATGCTGAGCAGTCTGCTGTGGAATTTGTAATGGAGGAAGGGGCTGCCCTGTGCCAAAGGGATCCAGATTTCCAAAAGATGACGAAAGCTTAAGAAAACAATAATGTGAGAATCTGTAACTTATACAAGACTACAATGCTTTTTTTTTCCTAGTCATATCCAAGAAATTTTTAAGTAATTATTTAATTAAATAGCACTGTTCAGCCATAAAGTCATTTTCAAAATCACCACACAATAGAATTATTTTTTTCAGGCATTATAATCAAAACCGTAACTCTTCCTATTACCTTGTCAACTTGTTTTTGCCTTAAACCATCTGTGCTCCCTCCCATGATGGAATAAACACTGATACGTCCATCAAAGGAAGCAGCCGATAAGACAGCAGGATTTCGGGGACACCACTGAATATCAAAGCACCACTGTGTATTGGTGGGAAGTTCATACAACACCTAAGCCAAAAAAAAAAAGGTCAGAAAATGCAATAGCCACATTATAACCAAACAACTAAATAGCGTATTGCCTAAGGCACTTGACTGCTAACCAGAAGGCTGGCGGTTCAAACCCACCAGCCACTCCTCAGAAGGAAGGTCGGGCAATCTACTTCTATAGTGATAACCTCCCCAAGGAGGTGTCGCTATGAGTTGGGTCTGACTCCACGGCACATAACAACAACAACAACAACAACAGCTAAATCAAACATTTTCTTTTAGAAAGTATCTTTAGCCAGGAAAAACAGAACTAAGATTTTAAAAATATAAGAATAGTCCATTATGATGGTCTATTATGATACACAAGAATGCTACTTTAAAAAAATTCAATCACATTCAAAACAAGCATATTGTAAAAAAAAAAAAAAGTTTTTTCTGCTTTTACTGAAATGGTATTAGTGGATGCATCCAAAAAACCAGAAAATTCTGAGTTAACTCATTAAACTTAAGATAAATGGTGTCTTGTTCAACTGTATATGCCTGCCAAGACTCAATCAACCATATTTAGACTTTTTATCTGCAGATGAAGTTTTATAGATAATTTTGAGAGGGAAGAATTCACTAAGAGATCTGGCTTTTAGTCAAGAAAGAAGACATGCACATCATTCGTACTGTCACAGTCACAATACAGAATCATAACCTCTTTCAATAAAGAAAAGAACTATAGAAAATGACTGATATAAAACCTTTACAATATTATGATTGTTTCTAACTTAAAATGTAGTAGTCACTGCTTTTCAAAGGAGCAAAAAGTTTTGTCACTTCAAGAATTAAGTCAAATGACACATGGAAACAATTAGCCCAAAAGACTAGTAACAGTAGACCATGTGATCATCAGCCTATATGCCCATGTGACCAGAAGAACTAGATGATGCCCAGCTACCACTGTCAACCACTCAGAGGGCATCAGTACAGGAGATCCTGGATACAGTGGGAGAACAACATGGAACAAAACTCAAAATTATAAAAAAAGAGACCAGGTTTGCTGATAGAGCAAACCTGGTAAGATCCCTGAGACTACGGCCCATACCCTTCAGGTCTGGAACTGAACTCACTTCTGCAGCTTCCAGCCAAACAACAGATAAGCATATGGGGTGAACTTTACATTAGGTAGATATACTCCTTGGAGCAATCAATTGTGGGAGAACAGAATGGCAGTGTTTGCACCTGGAGAGAGCTGGGCAGGGAGTGTGTGAGAGGGAAGGATACAGGGAATAGGTAACTATGGGGAAGAAGTGGGACAAGAGCTGTTACACTGTGGGGAGAACTGCAGTCAATGTCATGAAACATGCTGTATGGAAAACGAATTTGCTCTGGAAACTTTCACCCAAATCACAATAAAAATTTAAAGAAAGAAAGAAAGAAGTCAAATGGGCTTCATGTAGCTTTTAAAATGTTGTGATTTAGTAAGAAAAATAAATTTAGTGAAAAAATCTTAGCCTTTTCATGTCTATGATGATTAAATGGGCCACTACGACTAATTACTCTCAGCTTGACGCCACTGACCACCATTTGCCTACTTCCAATTTGCCTCTGAATAAAAAAATCTACTAATGTTTTTTAGATGCAGCACTCACTAAAGTTTATTTAGTTTATTCCTTCAAAGGCCAAGAACATATAACTAATCACATATAAAAAATCAGTTTATCAAATTACATAACTGAGAAAATTACGACAGACCAGTAATTTCCATAATTTTGAAATTATTTGGTAAAGTATGGTGTAAAATGCATGATTTTTATTATTTTTTCTGTAAGTCATAAGAGATAAATTATGTATTTTTTTCTTGTGTTTCCCCTTAACTTTAATATTTCTATATTCTTACTGACATTGCTGCATATGAAAATTTTACACTAGAATCCAAATGTGCTTATTTTTATTTTATTTTATTTTTATTTTATCAGGATAGATTTAAAAAAAAAATCTCTTAAAGCTATTTTTCACTAACACTGTACTAGGGATATTTAAAAAGCTGTATTTTAAACACCTGCAATACTAAACCCATTGCCATCAAGTTGTTTCTGACTCACAGTGACTCTACAGAACAGAGTAGGACTGTCCCATAGGGTTTTTCAAGGCTGTGATCTTCACAGAAACAGATTGCCACATCTTTCTTCAGTGGAGTAACTGGTGGGTTTCAACCACTGACTTTTTGGTTACTAGCCAAATGAGTCGACTCGATGGCACATAACAACAACAACAAGCCAAATAAGTCAGGAGAGCTCCTTAGCACTTGCACTAACCTACATTAATTTAGAAAAGGTAAAAGTCGAATTTAAAAGCTGTAATTAAAGTCTACAGTCTCTTGCCCACTACTGAAAGGAACTGTTCAATATTAAGAAGAATGATAAAGTAATAGTTTATCAAAATCATCTGGGGGTGGCTGGGGGTGGGGATCAGGTTTGCTGGTCTGATAGAGCTGGATGGAACCACTGAGACTATGCCCCTAGATGTCCTTCAGGTCTGGAATTGAACCTACTCCTGCGGCTTCCAGCCAAACAAGAGAGGCATATGAGGTGAACATTTACACTAGGCAGGCACACTCCTTGGAAAGAACAATCATGGGAGAATCTAAGGGCTGTGTATGCACAGGGAGACAGCTCAGGGGGCAAGAGTGCATGGAGGGAAGGACAGAGGGAAGAGGTAACTATGGGGAGAAAGTGGGAGGGGAGCTGGTGTATTGTGGGAAACTGTAGTCAATGTCATGAGACAAAGTGTATGTGAACTGCTGTATGGAAAGGGAATTTGCTCTGTAAACTTTCACCCAAATCACAATTAAAAAAAAAAAAAAAGTAATAGTTTAAACAAATTTTTAGCACATAAACCAAAGCAAATAAAATTATATTTATACTGAATTTATATTTACTAAGGGCAGAATTTCAACAGGCAGGTCATATGACAAATATACTATACAGTATTACATGCAAAATAAATTAAATATTTTTGATTCTAGGTAAACTCATTTTATTGGCAATGTGGGACCAATTACTAGTTTCAAATATAGTATTTAATAACTTGAGTTTTCTAGTTGAAATAGCTGAGCTTAGATAATGTTTCTGATAAAATCTCTGCTGAATTAACATTTCACATACACTTCATCTACCCTTACAAGTCCTTGGTTGTAATAATACACTAAGAATCCATATGGAAAATTTCTTATCAGCTAGATAAAAATATTACAATGAGTTTACAAACATTTCTTTCCTATACCTCTCCCGAGTTTGGGTTGGAGCAGAGTATTTTAGCATCTTTTCCACAGCTCAGCAACAATTCAGGATCTGCCATGCTCCAAGCAACTGCCAAAATCCCCCTATAAAAACACAAAGGGATCAAGAAATTTTAATCTTGGGAAAAGCAAATTTAAAATTATTTCCATACACTCTTTTGAGATTCTTCCACACTACTGATGGAAATAAATGCTAACGCAATAATTCTGGAAGGTAATTTAGTAATTTGTATGCTCTTTGATCACTGCAAGGATGCTAAGATGTTCACTACAATGTAGAGTGTATGACATCGAAAATGAAAAAGTAATTATCCAACAACATGGCCTGTGTTATGATAAACTACAGCTCATCCTTTGATGGGGAAAATGCATAGAACATTAAATATTATGTTGTAGAAAGCTATTTCTTACTATCCTATGTTATTAACAACGAATAAAGAGATCTGGTGGTATAGTCCTAAAGCATCTGACTGCTAACCAGAAGGCTGGAGGTTCAAACAAGCAGCCACTTCTTAGAAGGAAGACTGGGCAATCTATTTCTGTAGAGATAACTGCCTCGGAAACCCAAAGAGGGGTCAACAGGAGTTGCAACCGACTCAAGAGCAGTGAGTTTTTTTATATATTAATTAGACATTTGTATAAAAATTATAGATATATAATAATTATATATATAAATTTCATTAATTATTTAAACAAATGTCACCTTATATATATATAAATAAATCAGACACATACAATAAAATGCTTTATCTACAGAAGGGTGAGACATGTGACTGTTTCACATTTTCTTTTGTTAATATTTTCTAGCCTTTATTATCAGAGAAATATTTCTTTCTTAAACAGTTTATTTAACTAAAAGACAACAAATTTGCTCCATAAATAAGTATTACAAATTTACAGTGATTTTATAGTTCTTTTTGAAGTTTAAGAACTTTTAGATTTTTTTTAACCCTTAGTATTGCAAAAGTATTATTTTTTTTTTTGTATTTAAGAGTCTAAAAAATTCAGATTAGCACAAAGAAAATAAAAGTCACCTGATTGTCATCATCCAGAGAAAACTACTATTAACATTTTGTCTCGTCTATATTCCTGTTTTTTTCAAAAATTAAGAGCAGAATTAAAATACAAAAGAAGGAAAGTTACCACTGATACACCATGGGGAAAAAAAATACTAGAAACTACAATAAAAATAAAGTTTTTTTTCTTCAAACACAACTAAAACTGAGGAGTTCCTGGGTGGCACAAATGGTTAAGCACTGGACTACCAGCCTACTAACTAAAAGGTTGGTGGTTCAAACCAAGAGGTGTCAGAAGTAAGCCTGGTGATCTGCTTCTAAAAGGTCATAGCATTAAAAAGCCTGTGGGCAAGTTATACTCTGCACATGTGGGGTCACCATGAGTCACCACCACCACATAATAAATTTTAAGCGTTGTCCCAAAGGATTGTGGTATACGGGAATATTGGTTTTTTAATTATTACTTGAAAATCCTTTAACACATTTTCATGCTATTATGATATGATACAGCCACAATTTTTTGGTATAGTAAAGCAAGTAACTATTGCTTAAAATAAAATGTAGTATGACAAAACCATTTAACTTTTAAAAGAGAGAGACAAAGCAAATTTTCTAAAATTGAAAAGGAAATAAATAAATGAGTAAGAGCTTATCTGGTAATTCAATGTAATAAGTAACTGTATTTAAGAATAAACAAATCAAATTCCTTGGCCACATGATACCTGGCATGGTTTTCAAGGACACGGAGTGGAGAGGTGGCAAATCGAAGATCCCACATCTGGATCACAGGTAACCTATCATCCTCAGAGGCAAGGACCATCTGGGTAGCAACATCAGGATGCCATGCCAATCCAGAACAATGCATCTACAGACAGTTAAGGCTTACATTTTATAAATCATATTACATTATGAAAAGCCAAGATAAAATTGAGGAATATATCTTCATTGAATCAAACAAAAAAATATATATATCAGCTCAGGCCTAGTTTAATAAAAAGAAAAGAAAAAAAAAAGATTAAATTTTACTAGAATCTTAAAAGTAAAATGTTGGGCAACTATTGGTCTCTCCTTACCCACAGCAAAGAAGAGAAGAAAATCAAAGATGCATGGAAACAATCCAAAGGACTAATGGCCATGAGAACCTCAGCCTGTATGATCCTGAGACCACAAGAACTAGATGATGTCTGGCTACTAATGCCAACTACTCAGAAAGGGATCAAACTTGGAGATCCTGGATAGAGTGGGAGAAAAATGGGACAAAATGAGAAAAGTGGGACAAAACTTAAAATCATAAAAAAGACCAGACTTAACTGGTCTGATAGAAATTGGTGAAAGTCCTGAGACTAAGGCCCCAAATCATTCTTCAGCCCTGGAAGTGAACTCACTCCCATGGCTTAACTCTCAGCCAAACAACAGACAGGCCTATGCTTAACATCTACACTAGGGAGATGTACTCCTTAGAACAATCAACCATGAGAGACCGAAAGGGCAGCATTTGCAAAGGGAGAAAGATAGGGAGGCAAGAATGCACAGGCAAGAAGGACACAGGGAAATGGTAACCACATGGAGGAAGTGGGAGGTGAGAGGTTACACTGTGGGTAATGTAATCAGTATAACAAAACAAAATATGTCTATGAACTGCTGAATGTAAAACAATCTGCTTTGTAAAATTTCACCTAAACCACAATGGAAAAAAAAAAAGTAAAATGTTGGAGTGTTTTGAATTCATTCAGCTATGTGATACATAACAAATCCTTCTAAGCCAGAATAATTCTACACCAGAAAATGAATTTTACTGTCAAAATTTTAACTAGGGAAAAGGTTTACACAAAAATATTTATATAATTCAAATTTATACAAATTGAAAATGTAATACTTTCAGAAAAATGAAAATAAAAAGACTTTAATAAAAAAAAATAGAAAACAAAAGCAACTTTCTTCTATCAGGAAAATTAAAGCAAAATGTCTAAAGCAACAATTTAAATTTTCACATGGGATAAATGAACATTATTACTAAGAATTACTTAAAAGTTCAGATCCTACTAAATGCTCCAAAAGATGACTGAAAAGTTTATTGTATGCTTTATTCCATTGAAACTTTTGTGTTAAAACTCCTGATTAATATTCTTCTAAGTAGTTTTTGCTGTTACTATTGTTGTTTTTAAAGTTTTATATGTATTCCCTGACTTAGGCGAGCTCATTTTGGAGGACATCAAACTAGTTAGTCAAATTAAAAACAAGCAAAAAAAAAAAAAGACCCTAAATTGTGTCCAGGGTGCTCTGGTAGCATAGTAACTAAGGTACTTGACTGCTAACCAGAAGGCTGGTGGTTCAAACTCACCAGCCACTCCTTGGAAGGAAGGTTGGGCAATAAACTTCCATAGTGATATTGCCTTGGAAACCCAAGGAGAGGTTACTATGAGTCGGGTCCAACTCAACGGCACATAACAACAACAACAAATTGTGTCCAAGTTATTTTAATGACCTGATGACAAAATATGAAGTAATTTGTAAGGTTGAAAACTTAATGTGGTATAGAGTAACATGTATCAGAAAGTACCTAAATTAGATAAAGAGACAAATCCAGGAGTTTGAAAAATGTTACTTCGGAAAAATGAAAATAAAATTCCTAGCAGGAAAATTTACATTTGAAAAAAGCTAAGGTTGTGTTAAACAGTTCTTGCAATGCTTTGAAACACCTGGTAAAGCAAAAAGATAAGTTCTTTGATTAACTAATCTTTCTCATCGTTCATAATATCCAACATGGTACAATAGGAACTTTATTATTTTCTCCAAGGGAAAAATACCTTTCATTTCAATATGACAATCAATGAAAAGAATTTGGTGTCACAAATATTTTGTTTCCAACTGCAACAATATAGGAAAACCTACACTGGAAACGCAACATGTTTGTCACAAATCAATCGTATACTTACCCTATTACTATGATCACTGACTTTGATGACAGGTTCATTTTTTCTAAGATCCCATACAGTAGCCCGGCCACTAGGATTCGCTGATGCTAAAATATGCTGAACTTGTCTGTTCCATGCAATGCAGCTGATATCTTCTGGGGGCTAGAAGGAACAAACTATTAAAAATCATTTCTTGATTTTCATCAGATTTATCTGCAAAATCTGATTTCATTTTTAAAAAATTAGATGACTTAAACCTGATTATTTCACTCCACAAATTTGCTTTATAATCCTAAGTTCTCAAAATATACAATTCCATTTAAAGTACATGTACATGCCACTTCAGATATTTTGTTTAATACTGTCTCATTCTACAAGCATTTCTTGAGCTCCTACTATAAACCAAGCACTGATCCTTTATTTGCAACTGTCACAAAGTACATAACATACCACAAAGCAGATGGTTGAGATGACAGACAAGTAAGCAGAGCCTGGACCATTAGGAAAACACTTTCTAAATCACAGAGTATATACTACCATTATGCTACCTCTCAAATCACCAAAATGTTAAGGACAAGTCTAAAGGTTCTCAAACCGAGTAGTCTATATAATACAAAGAAACCCAAGGAGGAAGGGAAAGCACTGTTCTTACCCAAACTATACAGAAGGAATATACTGAAAAAGAGGTTTAGATTTTTTGTTTTAAAAAAGAAGTTTCCTTTTCCATTTTATGGTTTTTATTCATGATTATGTTTTGTTAAAATAAAGAGTAGCTATCACAAAGAGTACAGAAATAATTACATCTAAAGAAATTATTAATGATTTTTGTCCATTTTGGTCACTTCTGTATTCCTGGTACACAGAACAGTATCTGGCAGGTGTTTGCTGAGTAAGTAATTTGTTGTTGAAAGAAGAACTCACTAATGTGTTGAAGAAATGTATTTGTTAATATTTTACTATATAGAAGAAAAATTAATGACATCTAAACAATACTTTTAAATATATATTTTATGTGAAAAGCTTAAAAATACATTTTATGTGAAAAAGTTAAAACTGAAGTAAGTTCAGAAGAACCACTTTTGGTTAGCTTTTCTTCAGATTTCTTAATCAAAATCAATGAAATACCTGTGTTTTGGCTCCTGGTGTCATCGGAGTTGCAAAATTGTTTAGATCCCAAATATAGATTTCAGATTCATTAGCACCAGAAGCTACAAGATTAGTCTGCAACAAAAATAACTCAATAACATTTATGAACACTTAAGAGAACTCAGAATAACTCAGTTAAGAGCTAGAAATAAATTACAGTTTTAGTTCATACAATTGTTCTACCTAATTAAAAAAGCAAAACTTGTACATGTGAAATCACTATGCCTAAATAATTACCCATTATAATTCTTAAGCGAAATTTAAATAGTTTAGAGAACCTTCTTATAATAAAAACATTAACAAAGAATAATCATACAGGTAGGAGCTCGGGTAGCATAGTGCCTAAGGCCCTTGACTGCTAACCAGAAGGCTGGCAGTTCAAACCCACCAGTCACTCCTCGGAAGGAAGATGGGGCAATCTACTTCCATAGTGATACTGCCTCGGAAACCCAAGGAGGGGTCGCTATGAGTCAGGTCTGACTTGATGGCACATAACAACAACATAACAACAATCACATAGGTAAGTTCTTAAAAAATCAACCACAAAACCATGCAGGGATTATCCCATGTGGCTTTGCATCTCTGACAAGTGTTCTGACAGCAGATGATAACAAAAAGTTATCAATTATCGCTTTCAGATAAATAGTTGAATTCTAAAACAAAAGACATCTTTTTCACGATACCTCAAAGCCAGATTCTGGAGCCAATCTAGATAATGCTAGTACAATCTCGTCTTAAATATTCATGTATTCCTAATTCATTTACACTCAATCTTGTTCCACGTGGCAATATTCATAAGCTATCTCTATTGTATGCCCAGAAAGACCCTGAAGTTGTGATAATGAAGTACAGAGAAAGATAATGAGCTATACAGATTAACCTCCATCTTTTATTGTCACTCTCATATATTCTTTTCTAACCAACTAGCACGTAACTATGAAAAGAGCAATTCTACGAGAGAAGTTGTATTACAGCTTGAATTCTAAAGCACTTCATTTGTGGAAGGCTGTGGTCTGCAGTGGGACCCTTAACTTCATTTTGAGGCTTGATATAAATTTCAGACACCATTTCAGTTCTTCCTGACCATTAAACCAGCACTATGGTTACGTACATAACAAAAACAACATGGCAATGCACACACAAGTTCCAGGACAAACCTAGGGAGGGGCAGTTTGCCTTCAGAAGAATGTGGTTGAAAGCTCACACAAAGAACTAGAGAACTTGCCTGAGTGTGCCCTTTTCTAATTTAAATTAAGGTTGGGGTCTTGGTTATCTGGAAGCCATCTTGTGGCTAAGACTCAAGCTGCATGGTCATGAGTCACAGCCTACCCAGACTACCACCTTGCCAGGCAGAACCAATCCTGTAACCCTTTTCTAGCTTCAATTATGTATGTATCTGTGTTAGTTGGAGCTGTGTGTCAACTTGGCTGGACCCCAGTTCTGTGTGGTTGTTCCCACGATGGGATCAGACTGTGTTCTAAGTGGCCAATCTGTTCAGGGGGAGTTTCCATAGGGGTGTGCCTGCTTCCAGGATACCCAGGGACATCCTGGGAAGAGAGACATTCTTCTGTCGATCGGGATTCTCTTGTGCTTTCTACAACTGTCCCTGAGTGAGCAGTCCACCATTCAGCCTGGAGATCTTGGCTTCATCATTCGTTGGAGTCAACAGCCAGTGTACTGCCTGCCAGCCTTGAGCTTCTTGGCCCCTGCGGTTGCAGAAGAAAAGCCTCCAGCCTAACGTTTGCTCCAGGGACTTTGGACTTGTTGGCTTCTATACGTTTGTGAGCCATTTTCCTAAGATAAATTTCTCTCTCTCTATATATATATATATATATATATATATATATATATATATATATATATATAAGCTTTGCTGGTTTTTGCTTCTCTAGATAACCCGGTTTAACACAGTATCCCAATCATGCTCCCCCACCTTTTGCAGTCCCACCTAGAATGGTTATGAATCGACTTGCCACCAGTCATGATTTTGTGATGATTCTCTTTGTTTTCAACCATATATAATTAGCTCTAGGCCATGACTCAGCAGACTCCATTTAGTTTTCTGTATGGTGAGGTTTCCCTCATCCTGGATGACTGTCTTTGTCCTAAGGCTTAATAAAAGCATCTCTATTAAACCTATTTGAATCTGGGGTCTTTTTTTCCCCTGTTACAGTATCACATATAATGCAAGACATTTTTACCAAAACAGCTAATGAACCCAATTAATAAAAGCAACAGCTATCTATATGTATGAAGAGAAGACTCTACAAGTTGCGGACATAAAGAAGTTTAGGTTTCTGTATTTCTATATTCTATCAATTTCAAAATATAAGAAAAAATTATTTAAAAGTTTCTTACTTTAATAGTCATTTGTGGTTGTTATAGTGTAACAGTCTAGTGTAGGCCCTAGTGTAGGTGTAGTTGTTAAGGCAATTGACTGCTAACCAAAAGGTCGATGGTCCAAAGCCACCAGCTATGTTGTGGAAGAAAGATGAGGCAGTCTGCTTCCATAAAGATTTACAGCCCTGGAAACCCTATGGGACAGTTATACTCTGTCCTGTAGGGTCACTATGAGTTGGAATCAACTCTATGGTGGTGGGTTTAATAGGCTATGAACTTGAGATCTTTACTATCCTATGCATTTATATAATGAACATTTAGTTATGTTTATAGTAACAGTGGGAAATTAAAGAATCTTAACTGCCTGTTTGTAAAATTTGCATTACATTTGTGTTAAATTTCAACTTATTTAACAGAGTAGTAATCTCTCATAATTACAGAATTTCTCAAATAAAACAGAATTAACAGATACCATAGAGTCAGCTGGGTAATGGTTATTTACTGGAATGGCACAGACTTTTAAAAGGCATGGCTTCTAATATATAGGGCTAATGTTCTTTTTAAAAAAGGTCCAATTAGGAGGAAAAAAAAAAAAAGAAGGTGGGGACCAGGTTTGCTGGTCCAATAGAGCCTGGTGGAACCACTGAGACTATGGCCCCTAGCTGCCCTTTAGGTCTGGAATTGGACCCACACCTGTGGTTGCCAGCCAAACAATGTACAGGCATGTGAGTTAAACATTTACCTCAAGTAGACACATGCTCTGGAGAGAACAATCATGGGAGAAGGAAGGGCTGCTTATGCACAGGGAGACAGCTCAGGGCGCAGGAGAGTATGGAGGGACGGTCACTGGGAAGAGGTAACTATGGGGAGGAAGTGGGAGGGGAGCTGTTGCATTGTAAACTGTGGTCAATGACATGAGACAAAGCATATGTGAACTGCTATATGGAAAGTGAATTCGCTCTGTAAATCTTCACCCAAATAACAATAAATAAAATAAAAAAAGAAACTAGAAAAGAAAAAAAAAAAGATCCAATTAGTTGGCAGTGAAAGCTCCAGTCCTGTAGAATTAAACCTACCGGCCTGATTTCCCAATTCTCTGAGCTAGTATTACTCATCCTGAACCTAACTCTGAACTCATTCTTCAAACATACATCACTTACTCATCAAGTTATACAGGAAACATTTTTAGTTTTCAATTCCAAGACTGAGGCAAAGTAAATTCATAGTCATATTTCAAAATATAGCTGCACCTATTTTCAGAATTATTTATAAGCATCAACACCTAACCTGGAAAATGTTTACATCCAAGGCTCTCACTGGGCCAGTATGCTTGCCATTCTGGGCAATCACAACTTCCTTGTCTCCAGCTATAATTTTAGAAGGATCATAGAGAATCATATTTCCATTTTCACCACCTGCAATCAGAACTCCAGAGACATTTCCTTTTGAGTCCATCTTATGAGGCCCCCAAATTAACTTGTGGTACCTTTAAGACAAAATGAATAAAATAACTCATTCTTGAAGTCAAAGAAAACAATTTGAAATTATACATTTAATCATTTATGCTTTCACAAATACTCCAAAAACAGTGCTGCCTTTCTCCTCCTAATAACTGTGTATAACTTTGATGAAATGGCATTTTAATTTTTATTTGTACTCGTACCAACATACTTGATTTTATTTTCCTCTGTTCATCCTTAAGAGTAAAAGCTTTTGTAGAAGTAATATAGAATCACTTTGATTTGTGTGTCAAAAAACATAGGCTTGAGAATGGTTTTATCATTTAGAAACTGTCAGACCCTGGAGAAGTTACTTAATCTTCCTAAGCCATCTTTGGCTCTCCTGTAAATGGAACTAATCAACCACCTCCCTTAAAAAATAAATAAACTCTATTGCTCCACAAAAGTACTTACTAGCAAGTAGTTTGTTAAATAATAAAGATGTTAAATTTGAACTTTTCTAAGAAAACAACATATTATGACACTAGAAAAGTGACATCAAAATTCTATTACACCAAGATCCCCTACTAGTAGAGAATAAAATTTTATAGTCTGGCATGGAGATGCAATGTGAAGGTGGCTATACGTATAGTATATGTAGTGTACCAGTGAGAAAAACTACTATATAAAAGGTATCTGGGGTTCACATTGGGAGGGTTAACATATTCTCTTAAAAGTATGTGAGGTTCCATCCATGGTCACAAGTGACATCAAGCTCAACTGGCATAACATACTACACAAAAACATTGTTTCACATCCTACTTTGGCAAGTAGTGACTGGGATCTTAAAAGCTTACAAGAGGCCATCTAGATACAATGATGGGTCTTCTCTCCTCACCCAGAGCAAGGAAGAATGAAGAAAACCAAAGACCCATGGAAACAATTAGTCCAAGCAATTGGTACACCATGTGATCCTCAGCCTACATGACTATGAGACTGGAAGAACTAGATGGTGCCTCGCTACCACCATTGTCAACCACTTGGAGGGGGATCTATGCAGGAAATCCTTGATAGAGGTGGAGAACAATGTGGAACAAAACTCAAAATCATTTGAAAAAAAGGGACCAGGTTTGCTGGTCTGATACAGCCTGGTGGAACCCCTGAGACTATGGCCCCTAGCTGCCCTTCAGGTCTGGAAATGAACTCACACCTGTGGCTTCTAGCCAAACAAAAGACAGGCATATGAGCTGAACATTTACATTAGGCAGATACACTCCTTGGAGAGACCAATCATGGGAGAATAGAAGGGCTGCGTATGCACAGGGAGACAGCTCAGGGGGCAGGAGTGCATGGAGGGATGAGGTAATTATTGGGAGGAAGTGGGAGAGGAGCTGTTGCATTGTGGGAAATTGCAGTCAATGTCATGAGACAAAGTGTATGTAAGATACTGTTTCACCCAAATCACAATAAAAATTTTTAAAAAAGAGTACATGAGGTCCCATGAGACACCATGATTTGAGCTGCATTCCATTAGCTAAGGTACTAAGGTACAATCTTTTCACCAAAATCTGCCATGCTATTGAAGCAATAAAACTTATTTTATTACTGAAATGAAAATATCCTTTGTATGCATTACAATATGGCATAAATACTTGAAAAGGTGGTCTAAATGCCTATTGTATCAGAAATCATGTCAAGAAGTCTTGTGAAATATATTTTGAAATATAAACAGAAAAAAGGAAATAAAAATTCCCTATAAAGACAACTATTAATATTTTACTATATATCCAATTACTCCTTTTTTGAGTCACACTGACCTTTTCTTGTAAACATGTAAAATAAAGGAGATAAAAGTAACTCCACTATACCATGAGAAAAAAAAATACTAGAAACTAGAGTCTCTCTTACCCTACACATAACAGTCAGTAATAAAAAAATCAATAGAATACATTAACATTTCTTTTACTTCAAAAGAAATTCAATCATGCTTTTCCACAAAATATTACATCTTACTGATGGCATTCCCTTTAATTTCTAATAATAGTACAATTATAGACAAAGTAGGGATCACCTATAAAATCAAGCACAATTAAATAATCATAAGAATTTAAAGCTGAACCTCATACCTGTGAGAGGAGGAGAAAGTAGCACAAGATTTCATATCCAAGGATGGATCAGAAAGGTCTAATTCAAATATCTCGAGGGAAGCACTGGTACTGAATGTTGCATCCAACTGCTGAGCAGATGTTCCTATAGAAAATACATTTATGGTAACTACACATACAAAAATAAAAGACTCAGAGAAAACCACCCAAAACCAAAATTAAAAGCATGTTTATTATCTCATTCATGAATGCTGCAGTAACAGCTGGAAATCTTAGCACGTCATTGAGCAGATACTTAAATTACAACGGCAATGAGATTCTGGCACAATCAGGGCTAGAGTTTGTAAGGGTAGTATTATTTTTTAAGCCTCTATATTTCTTAAAGACTCTCTCGAAAAACCAGTAGCATGATTTATATAATTGCTTATTTAAAAAAAAAAAAAAACAACAACTCACTGCCATCAAGTGGATTCCACCTCACAGCACTTCCCTTGAAACCTCCATCGGGTTTCCAAGGCTGTATCTTTACAGAAGTAGAGTGCCTCATCTTTCTTTTGCAGAGCAGCTGGTGGGTTTGAACTACCATCCTTTAGGTTAGCAGCCAAATGCCTAAACTACTACACCACCAAACCAAAACCACTCACTGATGTCAAGTCAAACCTGACTCATAGCAACTCCTTGGGTTTCCGGGCGGTATCACTATGGAAGTATACTGCCCAACCTTCCTTCCGAGGAGTGGCTGGTGGGATTGAGCCATCAGCGTTCTGGTTAGCAGTCAAATGCCTAAGACACTATGCTACCAGAGCTCCTACTACACCACCAGGGCTCCTTATGGTTGCTTATAGTCATAATGATATAAACCTAAGTCTTTTTCACATGAAAGTACCGGCATAAAAAATGCTCTTCCATCATTCAAACTTATATTAACTATCTTTATATGTCAGCCATTGTGCTTAATGTTAGAGGAATAAAGATGAGCAAAACACAATCCCTTTAAGTGGGAAGACACTGTCACAATTGTGGTAGTTAACAGGTGTGTGTCAACTTGGCTGGTTCAGGATTCTAAGTGGCTTAGCAGTTACGGTATAATTACTCCCCATGATGAGATCTGCTATGAGCAGTCAATCAGCAATCAGCTGAAAGGGAGTTTACTTCAGGCTATGGCCTGCTCCTAGTATATATGGAAGAGTTTTTGGAAAGATATCTGGCTTTTTGTGCATTTGGGATCCTGCACTTGGCCTGTCGTCATCTTCAGTTGTACTGGCCTGCTGTATTGCCTGCTGATCTTGGGATTGTTGCCTTTGTAGCCTGTGAGCCAACAATCTGCCCTTTTACCTGCCAGTCTTAGATCTGTCAGCCTCTGAAGCAAGCGGCCTGCTATACAGCCTGCCAATCTTCAGTTCTTCAGGCCCCGCAGCTGCGTGAGTCAGGAGATGCCTCCAACTTGATGTTTAATCCATGGACTTGGGACTTACCAGCCCCTACAACTGCATGAGCCATTTTTTAAAAATAAATCTCTTTCTCTCTCCCTATGTATATAAACTTCACTGGTTTTGCTTCTCTAGAGAACCCAGCCTAGGATAATGATCAATGCTATGATGTACCGACTGCTATAGAAAGTCACTGAACTCAGCAGATAAAGAGGATAGAGGGATCCTGCCAGGGAAAGAAAAGCTTTCCAAAGGAGATGAAGCTTAAACTGAATCTTAAAGAACAAGTACAAATAAGGCAGATACAGAAAAGATTAGGTTACTCTTATAATTTTCTCTTTCAAACTCACCTGTAGCTAGGTAAATGGGATGATTCTGGGCAGGGCTCCATGCCTGCATGGCAGTGCGATCTACTTCCTTTAACTTCATCCTGCTGAAGAGAATATTCCACATAGAACATACTAAATATGTGTCATAGACTAAAGTAACATAATTTACATAGAAACATACTGAACAAACCACTATAATATTTAGCAACACCAAGGTACAAATGAATCAATCAGGTTTAGGGATCATTTGTCAGGAATATTCTTTATTAAAAATAAGGGAAATTTCCGCAAGAAATAGACGGTGCGCAGCTACCACTATCATCCACTTGGAAGGGGATCTATGTAGGAGATCCTTGATTGAGAGGTGGAACAATGTGGAACAAAACTCAAAATCATTTGGAGTTAAAAAAAAAAGGGGGGGGGGACCAGGTTTGCTGGTCCAATAGAGCCTGGTGGAACCACTGAGACTATGGCCCCTAGCTGCCCTTGAGGTCTGGAGTTGAACCCACACCTGTGGTTTCCAGCCGGGCAGGGGACAGGCATATGAGTTGAGCATTTGCCTGACGTGGATGCACTCCTTGGAGAGAACAATCATGGGAGAAAAAGGGGCTGTTTATGCGTGGGGAGACAGCTGGGGGGGGGGGGAGTGCATGGAGCAATGGACACAGGGAGGAGATAACTATGGGGAGGAAGTGGGAGGGGAACTGTTGCATTGTGGTAAATTGTGGTCAGTGTCATGAGACAAGGTGTGTGTGGACTGCTGTGTGGGAGGTGAATTTGCTCTGTGGATTTTCACCCAGATCACAATAAAAAAAAAAGGAAATTTATTATTTATATTTTTAGACCTTATATTAGGGTGATTCTAATGGTTTACAGACTGTAGTCTTTCAATTTAAAAAAATCAGCTTAAAAAAAAAAAATCACAAAAACAATAGTCTACCAGGAGTTCACTTTGATACACACACAATGTGTTTCTCAAACAAGGATGGGTAACAGTGTATCGGGGTAAGAGAAGTCAGGTAATAAAATGCATCCTCCCAGAGCAGTTTTACTCTACAGTAAAAGCAATTTTAAATACCCATTTTAAATTAAAACAGGTTTACCACAGAGAATATGCTATCTCCACAGATTTTTAAGATAAAGCAGAAATTTTTAGGAAACTGCTCACTTCAACTTAAAATCCCCACATACCACTTGTTTATATATTCTCTACCATTAAAGGTTCTTTTGGTAGAAAAATTCAAGAGGCATTGTGCTACACTTTTTTTTTTAATTTCTGTTATTTTTATATAGGTAACATATGCAAATGATTCTAAAATAAAACAACATGAAAAAAGCAGAGTCTTGCTCCTGTCCCTGCTCTCAATACTGTGTTTCTCCCCACTCCATTAGGGTTTTTTTGTTGTGTCCTTTTAGTTTTTTTCTTCCCCCTTCTTAAATTTTTATTGTGATTTGGGTGAAAGTTTACAGAGCAAATTCATTTTCCACAGCATTTATACACATTTTGTTTCATGACACTGACTGCAATTTCAGATAGTGTACAACAGCTCTCTTTCTACTTCCTCCCTGTAGTTACCTCTTCCCTGTGTCCATCTTTCCTATGCATTCTTGCCCCCTAGGCTATCTCCCTGCGAAAGTATTGCCCTTCTCTTCTCCCATGACTGATCGTTCTAAGGAGTGTATCTATCTGATATAAATGCCCATCCTATATGCCTATTGTTTGGCTGGAAGCCAAAGGAGTGAGTTCAATTCCAGACATGAAGGGTAACTAGGGGCCATAGTCTCAGGGGTCTCACTAGGCTCTATCAGACTAATAAATCTGGTCTATTTTTTTTATGATTCTGAGTTTTGTTCCACATTGTTCTTCTACTCTATCCAGGATCTCCCGCACTAATCGCTTTCCAAGTGGTTGACAATGGTAGCCTGGTACCATCTAGTTGTTCTGGTCTCATGGTCATGCAGTCTGAGGTCTGCATGGGCCACTAGCACCCTGTTCTAACTGTTTCCATGTGTCTCTGGCTTCTTCATTCTTTTTTGCTCTGGATGAGCAGACCAGCTGTTGCATGTGGATGACCGCTTGCAAACTTTTAAGACCCCAGTCACTACTCACCCAAGCAGGACGTAGAACAACGTTTTTGTGTAGTATGTTATGCCAGTTGACCCTGTGACCATGGTCCTGAGCCCAAAGGTCCAACTACTTACTCCCTCAGGATGGTTGGCTATAGCTAAGAAGTTATCATAACTTTGCCCCATTAGCTCTATTCTATATATGGACATTCTTACAGCACATACAAGTATGTTTGTAGAAATACTGCCTGTCAACCTTATGTATATGGTTATGGGTATATTACCTTTTGCCTATACATACTTGATCACTCAGTTTGTCTACCCTAGATTAATGTTTATTATCACCAATAACACAGTACTGTGTATGTAAAAGGGTTTAACTTTTGTTGTCTGTACCTCCTGTGCACCTCTCTGCGTGTTCATTTTCTTTAGTGTTATTGTGTTGGTCACTCGCTTTTGGTATACTGCCTTTCCCTTCACCAAAATCAGTACTTGTATCTACCGACCTAGCAGTGTTCCCTCCCCTCCCATCCCCCATAACCAACAAAGAAAGTTTCCTCCCATATATAAACCTTTCCTTGACTTTTTACAATAGTGAATTAATACAGTATTTGTCCTTCTATGATTGACTTATTTCACTCAACATAATGTCCTCCAAGTTCATCCACGTTATGCAGTGTTTCTGCATATTCTACATTATTCTTTAGTGTTGCATAGTATTCCACTGTGCCTATGTACCATAGTTTGGTTATCCATTCTTCTGTTGATGGGCACCCAGGTTGTGGTAGTTAAGGTTGTGTGTCAACTTGGCTGGGCCTGGTTGAGTGACTGAGCACCTGGTGGTAGTTATTCCCCATGATGAGACTGGCAATCAGCTCCATGGTGGGATCTACCACCAGAAGTTGAGTAGCTGCTTTAGGGATGTGGTCTGCTTCCCGAATATAAACAGCTTTTGCATTTCTTGGCCACAGCCAGCTATCCAGAGGGAGCCAGTAGTTGGGCCTATGGATTCAGGACCATAGTCGCAGGGGACATCAAGCTCAATTAGCATAACATGCTATACAAAACATTGTTCCACATCCTACTTTGGCACGTAGTGACAGAGATCTTAAAAGCTTACAAGCAGACATGTAGATACAATGATGGGTCTCTCTTTAACCAGAGAAAAGAAAAATGAAGAAAACCAAAGACACATGGTGTTCTGGTTAACTAGTGCCACGCTGACAAGGATATACACAAATGGGATGGCCTTAACCAACAGAGTTTATTCTCTTACAGTTCAGGAGGCTAGAAGTCCAGGTTCAAAGTGCCAGGCTCTAGGGGCTGGGTGAAAGCCCCTCGACCTTGGGCTGCAGCTCTCGGCTTCTTGCTCCCGGCCCACTGAAAGTAGAGACATCTCTTCACTTAGGCAGCTACTGGCTGCTGAGGCTAACAAGCCCAAGGTCGACCAATAAAATGGCACAGTCCTGATGTTACCAAACCACAAGGCAAGCCATTAATTCAAGTCCATTTTAAATCCCAAGGTCGGCAGAACATGGCATGCAGCTGAATAATGACATGGCTATGCAGGATCCAAGCGTGCCATAAGCTAGAGACCATCCCCAAGGCTTCTCCTTATATACAGGAAGCAGACCACACCATCCCCAAGGCTTCTCCTTATATACAGGAAGCAGACCACATCCCAAAGGCAGCTACTCAGCTGCTTGTGGTAGATCCCACCATGGAGGTGACTGCCAGTCTTATCATGGGAAATAACTACCACCAGCTGCCCAGCCACTCAACCAGGCCCAGCCAAGCTGACACACAAACATAACCACCAACATGGAAACAATTAGTCCAGGGGACTGGTATACCATGTGATCCTTAGCCTATAAAACTATGAGACCAGAAGAACTAGATGGTGCCCAACTACCACTGTCAACCACTCAGAGGGGGATCTATGTAGGAGATCCTGGATAGAGTAGGAGAACAATGTGGAACAAAACTCAAAATCATTTAAAAAAAAAAAAAAAAAAAAAGGACCAGGTTTGCTGGTCTGAGTACAGCCTGATGGAACCACTCAGAGTTTTGGCCCCTAGCTGCCCTTCAGGTCTGGAATTGAACCCACTCCTGTGGCTTCCAGCCAAACAAAAGACAGGCATATGAACTAAACATTTACATTAGGTAGATACACTCCTTGGAGAGATCAATCATGGGAGAATAGAAGGGTTGTGTATGCACAGGGAGACAGCTCAGGATGCAGAAATGCACTGAGGAAAGGACACAGGGAAGAGGTAACTATGGGGAGGAAATGGGAGAAGAGTGGCATTGTGGGAAGTTGTAATCAATGTCATGAGACAAAGTGTATGTGAGCTACTGTATGCAAAGTGAATTTGCTCTGTAAACTTTCACCCAAATTGCAAGTATAAAAAATAAATAAATAAATAAAGCAGCAGCAGCAGCTTTGGAAATGGTCTTTAGCTTATGGCATGCTTGAACCCTGCATGTAGCTGAGTCATTGTTCAGCAGCCTGCCATACTCTGCTGATCTTGGGACTTTCAAGGGACTTGAATCAATGGCCTGCCATGTGGTTTGGTAACATCAGGACTGTGCCTTTTTATTTGTCAACCTTGGGCTTCTCAGCCTCTGCAGCAGCAGCCGTCTGAGTGAAGAGAAATTCTCCAGCTTCAGTGGGCCAGGAGCAGGGGGCAGAGCTGAAGCCCAAGGTTGAGGGGCTTTCATCCAGCTCCTAGAACATGGCACTTTGTACTCGAACTTAAAGCCTCCAAAATTGTAAGAAAATAAACTCCTGTTTGTTAAAGCCATCCCATTTGTGGTATATTCTTGTCAGAGCAGCACTAGGTAACCAAAACATAGGTTGTTCCCATCTCTTTGCTATTGTAAACAGTGCTGTGATGAACATAAGTGTGCATGTATCTGTTCATGTCCTAGCTCTCAGGATATATACCTAGTAACAGGATTGCTGGATCAAATGGTATTTCTAATTCCAACTTTTTAAAGAATCACCTTGTAGTTTTTTTAAATATAATTATTCTTT